AAAAAGAGAAATAATGACCAAAAGGTCTAAAAAAATCTCTTCCTGTTCTGAAATTAATATAATTATTTTTAGTAAGTCCTACTTTACATTTTAAGAACTCATTTCATTTTTAGACAGCTCTAAGTATTAGGAAAATTTTCTAAAGTTCCAAACATACACGCTCTTTGACACTAAAGTTCCACTTCCTGAAATATACTCTAGAAAAATATAACCACATGTGCATAAGAGACTGTTTAAAACAAAGCATAAGCATTGTATATATATATATATATATATATACCCTTGAATATACCCTTTATATACATATATATATATATATATATATATATATAAAGAACAGTGCTTATTAAGAATAATGCTCTTATTTGTTCTTAATAACAAAAGGCAAGAAACAGTAGTAGAAAGTAGTATGGTATAATACTATAGGTTACTAAATAGCAGTTACAAAGAATGAAAAAAACTGTATGCTCACATACAGACCATCAAACAATATTATAAACAAACAAATTGTAACACACGCACATTCTAATGCTATTTATGAAAAAAAATATGAAGACTTTATACAGCACTTTCTTCAGTGACAGAAATGTTCTGTATCTGTACAGTCCAGGACAGTAGCCATGAACCACATATGACTATAGATTTCTGAAATGCACTAAAACTGAAAAACTGAATTTTAAATTTTACTTTAAATACATGTAGCTAGTGCCTATTATACTAGACAGCACAGGTCTAGAAAAATAATCTAAATTGTTAATAGTGGTTACCTCTGGAATAGAAATCACTGGGAGAGTAGGGGGTGGAAGCAAGACAAATTTTCACTTTACCTTCATTATTTGGATATTTCAAAGTAAGAAATTTTATTATTTATATAAAAAGAAAAGGAAAAAACCTGATATTGACTCAAAATTAGCCTACCAAAGTCAACAGAATTCAGTTTTTCTTTTCTGTCATACCTGGGAAAAATTAAGCAAATAGCTGCTTTACTTCAAATCTTCTCTTCAAAAACCACATTTCCTCTTATTTCTCTCCCAAACTCTTCTGCTTCCTCATTTTTATAACAGCAGTATCAATTTGCCTATTCATAAGAAGCAGTACCATAGGGAAGGCTATTAAACCTTATCAGGGGTAGTGAGGTATGCTTTCTAAGAACATTTTCCAACGTAGGTGAGGGATCTATGCTTTTCTATGCAACAACCCTGCTAATACTGGGAAAAACTTGTCACAACTCCCTAAGTCTTGTCTTTTCCAAGCCAAACACCTCCAATCCTGACCAAAAGCACAAAGACGTCTTTCACCATCATATGGCTCAATTAATAGGAACTCAAACACTAACATTTCTCAGAACTTCTCTTAGTAATATGGGACAGTCACTCAGTCTTACCCAGATCCTAAACTCCTGATTTATTCATTCATTTATCAATACTTACTGAATACCATATAGCAATGAATAAGATCTCTATACACAGCACCTCTGCTCCCCGAAAGTTCTACTTGGTTTGGCAGACACTTGACAAGTCTTTATCTCAACTCATCCCAGACAATTTCACTCCCTTCATATTGAATACCACTAGTATCACAAGATTTAGAGAATGTTTATTCAAGTTTCTAATAGGTATGTGGAATGGAAATCTAGATAACATGTCCAATAACCCAACATAACAGTGCAAGTCCATGGGTAATTCCTAACGTTCCATAGACCAAGCCTGCAACAATCCACAACAAAAGTACAAAAAAGAACAATGTAATAAATAGGAAAAATTTACTCCATAGTACTCTTTATTATGAGATTGTGTCCTTTTGGCCTTTTTGATATTAAAATGTTCTCTATTTAGGTAGTGGCTGAGGTTGAAAGAAGTACCTGGTTTTTTGTTTTGGTTTGTTTTTAAACAGTCTTACTTGCCAGTGAAAACTCTATAGCAAGTATCTGCTGATATTTTATTTGCCCATGTCATCCAGTGGTTTAGAGAACTTAGTTTCCTCTGCCCTAAAATGCACTTTACCCACAGAGTAAACAATTACTCTTTTGACAGATGTACCTCCATAATGCTTAAAGCATTACATTTTGATAACTGAAATAGAAGCCTTTCCACTCTTGCACTGTATTATTCAGAAGAGCATTAATATTACAATAAAAAAGATTCAAACACACACACTTATAAAAGTGCAAAAAATCTAATTAAAAAATGTATACTGGTGTCAAAGACAATTGTAATTCATGGCAGTTACTTTAACAAAAGTAGCTAAATTCTTATGTTTATTTCTGACTAATCTTAAATATCAATGTAAAGAGGTTTATATATTAAACTCCAGAAAGAAAGAGATGAGCGTGGTCACATAAAGACCATCAAACAATATTGAAAAAAAAAAAAATACTACTAACTACCACATACCTAAAATTGCCACTAGCATTGACAAAACTGTAAAATTAGTGATCTCTTTAAAGTGACAAAGGCCCTACATGTAGGACACTCTTCTTCATCACCTCTCTCCACAAGAAACACAGCTGTCCTGGTAATCTGCATGCTTTTACGTAAGGATAAAAATGTACAAAGGCAATACAAAATAACGTCAACAAATGAGGTTTGTAAGAGAAGCTGGTTTAAATGCCCTAGTTTAAAACCCAGATTTGCCCTCAATGTGCATGACCTTGTACAAATCATTCAACAACTTCAAGCACCTCTACACTGTTAATTCCACAGGAGTAAAAACCATTTCTGCCTGACAAACTACTAAAAGTTTTCTGTCCCAAAACACATGAAAAGTTAGTTTTTTCCTCCTATAAAACAAAAAACACTATTTGTCTCGAAGCACGAACTTGAGGAATAAATAATACATGTATATAAAACCCTGGCAGAGTGACTGATGATTGTAAACACTCAGTGAAAGTTAACTGCTATCAACCAACAGCTATCCAACCTAAAAGTACTGTTCAAAGACTTTCAAATACTGAGTAAGCCTTCACCCACGAAACAGCCAGTGCACAAATTACCCTTCCCTCCCTACATAATGTATGTTATCTGTACTTCACACATGAAGGTATATAAAACCTACAAATAGTTTATAAACCAATGCAGTAGGAATCTAATAACACATGAACCCTGAATTGTGCATAGATTAAGGCTATGAAAAAGCTAAATTACCTAGACTCCAAATTTTTGTACTTCTAACCTGGTCCTGACCACAAGCACTCATGGCTTCCCTTGGTCTTCCCTTCGGACCTCCCCCAGCTGTGAGGGACCCCTCCCCCGGGCAGAAGGGGAGGGGAGATAAGACCTCAGAGGCGGGGGCCTGGGTTTAGGGGAAAGGGAGCCTCCCTGCACCCCTCGCTCAGACCCACCTTAAGCAGGATGGACGGCGGCAGCGGGTTGATGTCTGGGATTTCGGGGGGCGGCTCCCTGTGACAGCCCCAGGGATTTTCGGGGGGCTCCTGACCGTTCGCCTCACCGTATTCTAGCTGCTGCTGATCGGAAGAGGGGGCGGTGGCCCGGCTCAGACCGCGTCCCCGCCGGCCTCTATGGGGGCGCTTTCGGAAAGGAGGGACGAGGGCAGGGAGCAAAGCGGCTGCGGCCCTAGCTGCTCCGGGGCCTGGCAGCAGCTGGCGCCGGGGGGCCGCGGCGGAGAGGCACCTCCCCCCGCAGGCCCGCCCCGCCGCCGCCCCCGCCGCCGCAGCCCCCTCCGCCACAGCGGGGCTGCTTGCAAGAGGTGCAGGCGGGGACCCCGGCCCCCTTCCGCTTGCACACTTATCTCAGGGCCCGCAGGGGGCTCGGCGGGCGGCCCCCAGAAGAGCTGCAAGGCGGCGGGCGGCCCCAGGAAGCGCAAGGACCCCACGTTGGCCAGGAAGAGGCTCCAGCCCTGCCGCTCCCAGGCGGCAGCCGCGGCCAGCCCCAGCTCTCTGCAGCAGGAAGCAGGCGACGAAGCGGAGCCGCGGCGGCAGCGGCAGCGGCGGCGGCGCAGTCCTCGGCGGCCAGGGCCGCGTAGCGTCTCGCCAGGTGCTGAGAGGCGGCGGCGTAGGCCCCGTCCCGCGGCGGCGGCGAGAGCGGCGGCTCCTCCTCTGGGCCGGCGGGGGCGGGCGCGCCGGGGCTGTGCACGATGAAGCAGAGCATGCAAGGCCCGCGGAAGAAGCAGTCCCGGCTCCGGGGCGCCGCCGGCTAGGGGGGCACCTTGGCGGGCGTCTGGCGGGGCAGCCTGACGAGAGGGGACGCCAGCTGCAACAGCGAGGCCCCTTCTGGCTCGAGCGGTTACGCGGCTCCTTGGAGAGAAGGCGGCCCCTATAGAAGGCCCCGCGGAGGGGGATGGGAGGGGGGAGGGAGGAGGAGGGTCTCGGGGTCGCCCGCCCTGCCCTGCGCACACGCGGGCACACGCGACGGTGGGGGCGGGCGGCGGGCGCCCCACCGGGTCTACATGCTTTGCCCCGGGAAGCCCGGAGAACGGTGGGCCGAGCTTTGGAAACACGAGGGAGGAAGCCAGTGAGTCTGTGGGCTTGGCGACCAGTCCGGACCCGGCTCGCCGCCTCAGTCAGCGTCGCGGCGGAGGCTACGGCGAGTCCTGCTCGGACCATTTTAACTGCGGCTCCGCCGCCGGCGCGCGTGCCCGAGACACGGCTGGGAGCCGCAGGAGCGCGCGGCCGGTCCCGGAGGGGGCGTGGACGCGGGCGGCGGCGGCTCCCGGGGCAGAACCCCAGCTAGCGCTGTTGGCTGGGCGGTGACCCGCGAGGGTGCGGCACTCGGGGGCGCGACGCGCGCCCCACCTTCGCGTCGCCCGAGGGTTCTCCGGCCGCTGCGCGCGCCCAGCTTCTGTAGCGGGAGGAGACCCTTCCCAGCCAGCTGCGTGACATCCCTTTCCACAGCCGCGCTGACGTCCTGAGGTGTCAATTCAACCACTGCCATTGGCCGGGAGCCGGTGGGCTCTTCCCCTCAGGGTCCCCGCAGCTCTGCACCGACTCGGAGCGCAAACCGGCCCTGCTGTGGAAGGGCCTCGAGTGTCCTAAGAGGAGCGGCAGATGCCCTGCCTTTGGGTGACGGTGCCTGTCCACCCCTCGTCACGGGAAGCCAGTTGGTGGTGCGGTGCTGCTGTGTACCCCCACTTGTTGCGTGCTGTCGCGTTTGCACAACTTTATTGGAAGATGAACAGGTAAGAAAATATCTATATGCGGCACGGAGACGGTTTCCCAACCCAGTGAGACACAGGCTACAAGCTTTCACAGACTGCCTTCTGCACCTGGGAATTGTGTCTGTCCTTTCCCCCAGACTTGGCTTGATGGCCCAAAAGAGAAGGAGGAGAGAGTCTTGATGGTTTGAGCTCCGATGAAGCTATAGAGATAGGGTAGGAACCAGGGCCCGCCTGGTGTGGAGAAATTAGCTTTCAGAATGGACCTATGAGGGGAGCCTGGGATATTGACAGGAACCTGTCGCTGTCTTAGTCTGTCTTGTACTGCTATAACCATACCACAAAGGATAAATTATAAACCGTTTTGGGGGCTGGGCAGTCTTGAGTATATTTATAACTGCATGAGAGGAACTAGAAAGCATTCAAGAGCCCCCCCCCCAAATCGGTTTTCATTTTTTTAAATCAAGAACTCACTCCTAAGGTAGCAGTATTTATCCGTGAGGGTAGAGTGTTCAAGACCTTGCTTGCCTTTCTTGAAGGTGCCAGCACTTAATAATGTTAAAATGACAAATTTCACCATGAATTTTGGAGGGGCTTATCAAATCATAGCAAGCCTTGATAACAGGTAGCACAAGGGGAAGAAAAGGTGAAATAGATTGCTTTAGTTGGGTTGTCTTCTTCATTGTCCCTGGAGGGGAACCAGAAAGGATAAAGGATGGAGACAGTTATCTGGATGTTTCTGGTGGGGAAGTGAAAGAGTTCCTGTTCCTTTCTCATATTTTCTACCTGCCATCAGGTGGAGTCTAGTTACATGCAGAAGGATGGCAGGTGTTTTTAAATGCTAAGGATAACCTGAGAGAGCTGATGTTGTGAAATATTCAAGGTTAGATTCAGCTGAGAGACTGCTTTATCAGCAAGACAATTTCCCTACCACCATGGCCAGCCTCATACAGCCTTCACCCAAAGATGCCGTGAAACCTTTCCTGTAATGGCCTTTATCTGATCTTGTGTGTGTGTGTGTGTGTGTGTGTGTGTGTGTGTGTGTGTGTGTGGTTTTTATCAGTACCAGGGATTGAACTCAGGACTGCCTGCTTGCAAGGGAGGCGCTTATGCTGCTGAGCTAAACCCCCAGCCCCCCCCCTTTTTTTGGCCTTTATCTAATCTTAAGTATGTCCTATTCAGGAAATCCCCCTTTCTGAGCTTAATCATAATGAAATAGAATTCCAAGAAATTTAGAGGCAAAAAATTTGTCGAAGCATTTCACACACATTCACTATCAAATGTGCTGCCAAACTACATTTACTTATAGGTATCTCCACAACTTTCCTCCCTCCGACTGTGTAAAAAGCTCTTACAAACCCCCAGATTTCCATTGGTGAGTGGCAGAGTTTGCTTAAGACCTTATAACAGATCTGTTGTCATCTCTTCTAGGCTCCGTTTTGATCAATTCTAAACAGTTTATTACTTGATGCCAAAATTATGTGCTTCTCAGCTTCACATAAGTCAAACATGTATCTCTACACTGTGACCTAGCAATCCCACATCTGGTATATATCCAAGAGAAACAAAAGCATATATCCTCAAAAATACTTGTACAGAAATGCTCATAGAAACTTTATATAGTCACCAAAAAGCTGCACACATCCTAGGTGTCCATCAGTGGGAAAGTAGGTTAAAAAAAATTAGTGTATTCATCCTGTGAAATACTACTTAAAGAAAAAAAATAACATGAATGAATCTCAGAAATGTGTGCTGAATCCTTAGCCTTAAAGTTCGAATCCTGGAATCTACTTGATTTTTACAAGGTTTGTATATGATTCTTGTACAGGCTGCCTTTCCATGCAGACTCATCAGAAGTATACATGCAATTACTCTGGAACTAATTGTCAGAGTCAAGTGAGGTAAATGACTGACACTTTTGATGTGGTTTTTCTTACTCCCAGTTCCTGAACTATTCTGATATATGTTATCACCATCTCCCTAGCACTCCTCAGAAAAATTACAAACCTTGAGGTTTAGGACGTACCTGAATTCACTGATCCCTCTTAACTGTTTTTATTTTCTCTGTAGTTTATTATTACATGGTGTATGTGTTTGGTTGTTTGTACTAGACTGAACTCCATAAGGATAGGGATTTTTTTCAATTTCAGGAAAATAATCTGGCAGCCATAAAGATGAAATGGATTAGGAAAAGGTTCATAGCAGAAAGACTAAAAAAGAAGCAATGAAGAGGTTTTAGAAGCATAAATTGTGGCATACTGAGGATAATGAGCAGGGATGGGATTAAATAACATTTTTGGAATGTGGGCTTTTCAGGATTTAGTGAATTATTTATAAATGGATAGAGAAGAGAGTGATGTACAAAGGAAGTAAGGAATCTGTATGGCTATTTCTGTGCTCCTGGGAGACAGGAAACTGCAAGTAGCTGTAGGAACCAAGAATAACCCCAATCTGATAGCAAGAAAACAGGCCCTCTGTTGTACATACTATAATTCTTAATTCTACCAACAAACCCATGAGCTTAGGAGAAAGCTAGCGCTACAGAAGGGATGCCGTGATTTCAGTCTCGTGATACTTGAATTGAGAAGCTAGCTGAGTACATAATAGGGCTTCATGCTTACAGAACTATGAGAGAATAAACATAGAGGTTTTTATTTTTCTATAATTTATTTTCACAGGAATAGAAAATATTCAAACAGCCCTATGAAAACCAAGATTTGATATAATTCTAATAGGAGCAAACAGTTATCCATAACTCCAAAGATTAACTCAAGCTTAGAAAAGGAAACAGCTAATCAGAACTTAATATAGATGGTTTCCCCACGTTTATATAAATTAATGGGATAATTAAAGCAGAGGTGTTGTTTATTACTTGACTCATTTAACTTTCTTCCTTTCCGTTTTTCTTCTTTAAATGAAATTGATGCAGCATAAAAATGTTCTGCAGTCTCTATTTCCTCAATTCTATGCCCAGCTATATCTTATAATTTTATTCTCATTTTCAATAGTGTCTAGAGAAAAGCAAAATTGCTGTATATAGGGCTAACCAATTTCATAGTTTTTCCTCCTAAGTTTAATAACTTCTGGGTTTCTTACATAATTTTAAAATGGCTACATACGTAATAACCCAGGACCAGATATTAAAACTTTTTATTAGTGATTACAAAGTGGCCAAGCACTTTGACAACTTGTGGTTATAATTAAGAGACGTCTATGCTCCAGACTTGCTTACTCTGCCCAAGTCTGATGCATGATAAATCGCTGCTTCCTAATTCATTCCTATGTCTGAAAATAATTCTAATCAGGAAGTACTGAACAACCCATTTAAGTTACAGTGTATGTATACTCACTCGGGGAGCAAATGGGGAACAAAAGATGGGTGGCAGGGTTGGTAATGTGAAGGTCATCTGGTCTCTGCCTGTGACTCAGCTCTGATCCTGTATGTTAACAGTGCTGGAGTTACTCCTGGATTACAGAACTTTTTCCTCATTTATCAAGTGATGAGTCTTTCATCTTTATTAGTACCTAGAGAATGGTTGTTACATTAGGTATACAAAGGAAAAAGAGAACTGTTTATTCCTTAGTTATTTTTCCTCACAAAACTAGAGTCACACCCACGTGTGAAAGCAGTGGAAGAAGTGACCTCAGAATCCGTTCTCTGTAAACTATAAATTCCCCTAGCTGTCTGGAAAGACACTTTATTGTGATATCACCAGTGTTGAGTAGCCTTGGTTTTCAGTTCTGTTCTACCTTTTTTTCACTGATACATTATTAGATGTTTCTCATTTTTAATTCAGTTTGTTCTGTGTTACTCAGCCACCCTTAACAGTATGTTACATACAATAGATCAAGCTCACTTGGGATCCATTGTTACCCACTAACTATACATTAAGACCTGGGGTTTTAAAGCATAACTATGGATAATTCAATTGTTAAAGTAGATGGATATGCCGTCCCCTTAAATTTGTTCAGCAATATCTGTTACTGAACTGCGTCTTCTATCCCCAGTTGAAAATTGAGAATGAGAAAGATAGGAATGGGAAGGTCTTTTCCTCCCTTCTGGGGAACTTATTTTGAAAGGGTAAAAATCATTGTTGTGGCTAATATATTGTTTTTTTATAACTTCTTTTCCTTTCACAGCTGCCTTATATCTTCATTTCAATCATGTTTGGAAGTGTGTGTATTAAAGAAGAGTATGGGGAATCAGGCTTTCTTCCAGTTCTTTTGCCAATAATTTTCTCTGAAGTCAATATATTTCCTCCTATCATCTTCAACATTTTTTAAAAAGCAGAATACATTTATTGAGAAAAAGCTTCTGTCTCAGAGACAGAAGGGGTCCCCAGTGGATTGTGCCCCCTCCCACCCTGGCTTTTTTTTTTTTTTTTTTTTTTTTGGTACCAGGGATCCAACTCACAACCTTCTGTTTGCAGGTAGCCACTGTGCCAATGAACTATATCCCCAGCCAACACTTTTAAAAATTGTCATTAACATTAATGAATTTTTGTTGTTTTTGTTTTTGTTGTTGTTGTTTGTTTGTTTGTTTGTGTTTGAGACAGGATCTTGCCATGCAGTTCAGGCTGGCCTTGAACTTACCCCCAAATTGGCCTTGAACTGACAAGGATCCTCCTGTCTCAGCCTCCCAAGTGCTCAGGTTACAAGAGTGAACCAACTTGTAAACACCTGACTAACATTAAAGAATTTTATTTTTTAAATTTAATTTTAAAGGGAATAAAACAGCAGCTAAACGAATCAAAACAGTGATAAGACAGCAGGAAATCTATAATACTTAATATATTACCTATTATTGTTCTCTAAATAGTTGCTCAGCTTTAGGCTTGCAAAGTCAAACAACACAGTTCCTGCAAATCAGCTGGTTGCTCATAGTGGAAGGAGGAGGGAGGGGTCTGTTCTCTCCCCAGCCCCTGCAGTGGCTAGCTGCAGGTGGGGCTTAACTTCCTTGTTCTCCCTGATCTGCTCTTCCAATGGGCTCACAGAGTGGGGCTTAGCTTCCTTCCTCCATTATT